TGTGTGTGTGTGTGTGTGTGTGTGTGTGTGTGTGTGTGTGTGTGTGTGTGTTTTGAGATAGGGTTTCTCTGTGTAGTTCTGGCTGTCCTGGACTCACTCTGTAGAGCAGGCTAGCCTCAGTCTCACAGAAATCCACATGTCTCTGCTTCCTAAGTGCTAGGACTAAAGCCATAAACCACCAACTGGCTTGTTACTGTTTTTGTTTTGTTTTAAACATTGAAGGAAGTTCATTAAGTCTAAAATGGTTTGAAATTGCTCCACTAATCTAAAAATTATTGAAGAAATATTCTGAATTTTTTAAAAACCAGGGAGTGGACAGATGATTCAATGTTAAGAGAGCTGGCTGCTCTTCTAGAAGACCTAGCTAGGTCCAGTTCCCAGCCCAGGCATGGCAGCTCACAAGCATGTGAAACTCTAGTCCTAGGAGATCTGGCACCCTCTTATGACCTCTATATGTATTACATACACACACACTCACACATAAAAATAAAGGCAAAAAAAAAAAAATTAAAAGTAGACAAGCATATCCCTAAAATGAATGACACTGATGATGCTTGACTTTGTACCAAACACTGCATTGGAAGACCTGTGGTACAGAAGAAGGGGCAGCCTCCTTTGCAGGGTTTTTCTCCTTTCCACTCCAGAGCCCAGGTCAGAATGCTGGTCTGGAGCTCCTCCACCTGTTCACCACCCACCTTCTGGGGAGCACTCATCCTCTGAGATCTGCAGGAGCAGCTCCTTGGATTTGGCATTCAGTTCACTGTGGAAAGAACAAAGCCCTGTGAACCCTTCAAAGCTCAATTCTATAGAGTCAGGTCCCCCTGCCCCCCCCAAACACAATGTATATATTTTTTAACTGTACTAAGAAACAAAAGGTTGTCAGTCATTAAAAATACTGCCTGCAGCCTGGCAGTTCAGATATAGCCACTGATGCACCCAGGAGAGGGAACCCATGGAATACCCACCCTCTTTTGGTGATAAGTATATTGGAAAGAGTTAATCAGCAGCCATGTAACTCATGATGGATGGGCAGCACAGACTGACACCTTGATTTCTTAAATCAATTTGGTTAATTTTTATTAACTTAAAAGCCACATGTCACTGTTGCCATTTTAAAAGTACAACTATGTATAATTAACTGAATACAGAACACAGAATATCCAACAAGCCTCCCTCCTCCTTCCTAAGATACTTTTTGCTTTAGATAAATGAGGTATTCCTGTTTTCATGCTGTATCCACCATCACTTTTATCAGCTTTAGGTGATTTCCTTGAAATATCACCTACTGCATTTTTGAAAGGTGTCTAGAACTCTGCTGTCTTGGCCTTATAAAATTTTATTCAGCCAAGTCCTTAAAGACTGTCTAATAACAGTCATTGTTTCCAGTAAACTGAGCTTAACAGTTTGAAGGTCAGAGGTCAATTTGCTAGAGTTAGTTCTCTCTAAGTGGGTCCTGGGAATTGAACTTCTGAGAATCATCGTCAAATTTGCCATCAACTATTTGTTTTTTTTGCCATCAAGTATCTTTACCCATTGGACCATTTCTCTGACTCCCTTTCCAAGATCTGCTCATCATTTCTGTCATTTCTTTTTCTTCTCTAAGTGTACTAACCAGTTCCTCTAGATCAAGATCATTCCTGTTCTGATGCCAGTGGTCTGCTCCTGGGACTAATCATTCACAATGAGATTTTAAACTCCTATTACAAAAGTGTTCATGAATTTATTCTAATTGTTTCAAAACTGGAAACAAGTATTAAACACTACTGACTCTCTTTGGGGCAGGTGTAAAGACAGGAAGTTTACTTTCTTCTATGATCTAGTGACACAGAAATTATTGATGAATTTTGGTGCAAACTTAAGTGGATTTATTATTTATTTTATATATTATAAAATATATATAATTTATATATAATATATATAATTTATATTTATTTTTGTGTCACGGTCTCTACATAGCTCTGACTGTACAGGAAATCACTACGTAAACCTCAAACTCATAAAGATCCCTTGCCTCCTGGGTATTGGGATTGAAAATGTGCACGGAACCCTAACCCCCAGCTTAGATTTCTTTATTTTTAATAGAATGACTCTTTAAACATTTTTAGATGTACTTACTTTATGTGTATGCATGTTTTATCTGCATACATGTATACCACATGCATGCTTGGTTCCTACAGAGGACAGAAGACAAGTTTCAGATCCCCTGAAATGGCTGTGAGCTGCCATGTGGGTGCTGGGAACGAAACCTCAGTCTGCAAGAGTAGCCAGTGCTCTTGACCAGAGCCACAGCTCCCAAATGGATGTATTTTGATGCATCATTAAATCCTATGTGATGACTTTTTAGTTATGATCTTTATATTGTTATTTATAAATGATTTGCATGTCCCCCTGTTATAGAAGTTTTGTTTTATGATATGTAAATATGTTTTTGTTTTGATCTTGGGTGTGGGATGTGGGACTGATTCAGACTGTCCATAAGAGAAAACTATTTGCCTCGCGTGGGCTCTGAGAGGGGTTCTTTGCCAGCTGTGTAGATAGTTTAAATCTGAGGACTCTGGAGAGGGAATAAATGCTAGAGCCCAGAGAGTATTGAGGGGCTCTGAGAAAGAAGGCTAGTACTTCTACCCTGCTCATCCTAGTTGTTTGTTCATGACAAGAAATTGGAGATATCCTGAACCAAGGATTGGACTTGCCTCAAGGAACCTGACGACCCTAAACAGCAGGAAGTAGCTAAGAAAAACTACACCACTTCTTCCCACTAACCTTCTCTCTCTCCTACCTGGTGTTGGAAAGGATTAGGGTGGGGAAGGGAGAGAGATATAAAAAAACATAAATAAAATAGTTTTAAAAAATAACAGTAACAAGTGGCACCTAGACATAGGGCATAGAATAATGGAAAATCTGGTTTCTAGTGCCAGAGAGGAGACAGCAGGGTATGAATAGATGAATATACTGTTTTAAGATGTCAAAAAGTTTATTTCAGATGCTGCCACTGGGTTCTCTCCTGCTTCACTCCCAGAGGAGATTTTCTGGTTTTGCTTCTTCATCTTCCTACATTTTGTTTAAAGGTTTTAAGAAACAAAAAATAGATTAAATAAAATAAGGTTCATTCAGTCCTCTCATTTTAGAAAGGATTGCAGACTTGGCAGTGCAACTAGAGAATTTGCAGGTAGAGGATGAAGTACTTGGAAAGCAAAATGTGTCACTGGTAAAGGGAGGACACCAGGTAACTGAGAGCAGGAATTGCCCACAAGATGAAAGAGGGAAGCAAACTAGGCTGGAAGGCAGATTGCCACCTTACCCTGCTCTACACACTTTTGGTGTCCAGTTCCTACAACCCCTGAATGAAGCAAGGGGCCCAGAGAAGCAGAAAGCTGTACAGGGCAAAAGGGTTAAAGAGAAACAGCCAGTTAAAAGGTAAAATAATAATAATAATAATAATAATAATAATAATAATAATAATAATAATAATAATA